CTCTGTCCGATGCTCAGTAGTATGGTCCTAATCCCAATGAGCTTCTTCGTCAGGTTCATGAGTTCAGACGGTCTTTCGGGGTGATTCGGGTCGGTCTTGCTCTCCTCTCCCTTGCTATCCATGGGTGAGGATTGTGTGGCCGCGATTAAGGCAGCGAGAGCTCCAGTTCCCCCATTTCCTCCCTCCGGCTGGCCATCATCTCGACCTTCTCCCTGCTTGCGTTCTTTTTCAGACGACTCTCCGTCCTTGAAGGTGAAGGAGTTCAGCAGATTGGAAAGGAATTCTGGGGTTTCAAATGTTGGCAGCTCCACAGCGGCGACCCGCGCTCTGGCGGACGAGAACTGTTGGCCTGCAGCGTCGAGGAAGTCCGCAGCTCCATCTTGAACGTCACCAATCCACGCCGTAGACTTGGTCCTAAGTTCTGTGGACCAATAAGACCTCCGTTAGCTGGCAAAAAGGTAATATCCCTGGGGGCCTCCACCTTCAAACTTGTAATTAGCATATCCAAAGGCTCCGGCCCCTACTGTTGCACCTGCTATAGGTACTCTGAAAGCTCTTGCCACGAATCTTGGCAATGCAGAATAAGATAGTGCTCGAACGTGGACATGTCGAAGCGACTTGACAACCGGCGTTGGTACTTTCCGTCTGACCGCTGTCGGCGAGGATGTAATTAGAGTGCTAGCATGCCTGCCGCGAGATGAAATCGACGGTGAAGGTCTTCGTGCAGTAGCTGCTTTGCGTCTTAAGATTGCAAGCATATGCGAGTGGTGGTCGACATCCAAATATTACCGAGGTAGTTCATTCCCGCGGTTCCGCTCCATTCGTTGCCGAGTGACGCGCATGCCTACCTTGCCGCACGACGCCCCGCCACCGTCAAACTGGCCCGCAGATGTCGTTTATCTTAATAAGCAGCGATATGATCCCAAACTCCCACCGATTGTCCGAAAAAGGATCCAATCCTCCGGATCCGTAAAGCCCCTTCAGAAAAGCCGGCTGGTGAAGATTCAAGTCATTGCGGATCCTAGCCACCCAGCTAGAGGCCAACGCGGCTTGTTTGCGAGTCAAAAGATACCCCCATCTACCCATATACTGGATTATCTTGGAGAAGTCCATTCAGATGACCGCCTCGACTCAGATTACGACCTTTCTTTACTTCAATCGTCCAGTCCGCTGTCGGGGAACGATACGGAAACATGTACCAATATTGGTGTTGATGCGATGCGCATGGGGAACGAAGCGCGATTTATCAATGATTATCGTGGAACAGGAGTGGCCAAACCAAATGTGGATTTCAGGGAAAGGGAGGTGGATGGAGAACTGAGGATGAGTGTTTGGAGTTGCGCCCGTGGGCTTCGAAAAGGGGAAGAGATTCTGGTGTCGTATGGGAAATCGTGGTGGAAGGCCCGAAGTCAGCCTGAGGAGCCCGAAGACGATGGAATACTGGCCATTACGTAGCGGCTCTATGCTTTGGTTGACTGATCCACAACATATTCGATTATCTTAGACTATGTATTCAATCTCTGAAACTCAAAGAGAGGATGAAGCTAGACGGAGTGTCAGTGAAAGGTTCAGACAACATACAGGTTATGCAGAACCTACCCCTTGTCTGCAACAAGCCCTCGATCCTTTAGTAGTATAGTATACTGAAATTCAATGATCAGACATCCGATGGTCTGGTCGCAAGTGAAAGGGGCGTCACTCTACCTTCAGAACCCAGAGTAAGTCGATCGCGGGTTCTCCTTTCGCTCGCAACTGAGCAAACGATGCTGGAAGCGGTAGTCGATCTGCGAATTCCTTTAATAGGCCTTCTATTCCTTCGTATGGCACTTGAGAAACGTGCATTTATCAATAATGCGAGGCGTTTTATGTTATCGGTCCAACTGACCTCGGTTATCCGCATGACTTTGCAGCTCCACACCCCCCTCCTTAGCCAGCGTTACGAGCTCTTCAGGTAAATCACGTTCAAAGTTCAGTTGGTTCACCTTGGGTTGCCGCGGCCGACTATCTTTCGGTATATTGTCGAGTAGCGTCTTAAGGTGCAGGGGTGAAAAGTCGGAGACGCCAATGGTCTTAAGTGCTGGATTCTCTGACATGTGCTAGGTATATAAGTCTTGATCAGTCTACCAGCACGCTGCTAAAACAAATAATCTTTCATCTTACCTCCCAGACACCGGACTTTAAGAGGTAATCAACCTCTTCCTGTCCCTGAGCGCAGACCTCGTCACCCCCGGCCCACCGAACGCCATCAAACCCGATCAAGAACCTATTTATCTCCTTGAATCCTGTGGCTTGCTCCACGTACTTCAATGCTTCGTCAACATGAGCCTTTCTGTCGACCAGCTCATGGGGCCCATAAAACCGAAGCTTGACGCTGATCTCTGGGGTGTCCTTCGGTCCCAACGGTGGATAGGTGAGTTCGGACGGTCGAGGAATCACAAGTGTCCGAAGTTTTTCATCCGAAGACGATGCCGACGTTTGCAACTCCTTGAGCTCGACAGGCTTCGCCGAACTACTTGGGGTATTGAGGACTGCCCACGAGCAAGCATCCCCACATCCGTTGGTGCAAGGATCAAGAGCTCGGTGTAGGGCCAGGTGAACTGAGTGCAACACTTCATTTGGGTTGACCTGACGAAGAGCGGAATTCCATGAAATTGGGTTTCGCGTAGTGTTCTGCGTGAAAATTATAGCATTCGTCGGAGGCCGAGGCTGTTCCCCTGAGTTGGTAGACGCTTCATCATACGTTGAGCTCATTTCCGTGGTGATTCCTTTCGCCTCTGAAGGGTGTCAAATGGCGTGCAATAGCGTGAGAGGTCCAGAGTGGAAGATGCGTGATGGTGGAGGCGGATGACGCGATTACGGAGATGCGCCTTGTAAGCGAGGAACGTTCTGAATCAGAACCGGAAGCATTATATACGGAGGATGGATCTGTCAAGTCAATGCCTGTCCAGGTGGAAGCGGGGGCGTCTTTGCCTATTCCTGAGCATCTGTGTAGCCTACGGCCAGGCAAACACCGAGTAAAGGTCAAGACTGCAGTTCCCATCGCTGTCCCGTTGTACACACGCGGGCGCTTAAGCAAATTTATCCAGAACATGTGCATGAGTTCGATGGCATCCACAATAATGAAAGTAACAAGTAGCAAAAATGTAGGTCGATAGCCCTCCAAGACGAATGCCTCTGCCGAAGCGACAAGCTATCATGGGCGCCCAGTCAAGAAACCTAGCGCCTACTGCTTGCCCTCAAACGACATCAAGCAGCACTAATCTATAAAAGACCACAGACCGCTCAGGCAAAGGACTGGACGCCGAAACGCCCGCCTTCAACCCGAGGCACGTTCACTTTAGAAGACGGGAACGCGGACGAGGACACTGACAACACTCCGGGCCCGAACTTTGATGTCCTATGAATGAAATTCATGACAAGATAGAGTCTATGGTCAGTACGCTAATTCCAAGTCGCTCAACTTAGAGGAAGCGGCTCGGTGGACTCACTTCGAGATTGTTCTGGAGAAATTTCAGCTTGGGCCACGATCCTTAGGTCATCAACCCACTAGCCCAAACACAGACAAACTAGCCCTGACCGGCTACCCGCCTTTCCCGTATTCTTCCACAGGACTTTCAGCTGCGCTCCGTTCAAAATGGATTCATCGGCACCATTGGGCTTTATTCCTGCTACTGAGGATATGATCCTGGGTGGTGTTGGGAAGATGATTCCCAAATCTCCTACTTTGGAACGTCTCGCAACTTTCCTTGGCTCCTATTCTGGGACTGAGTGAGTACTGGCCACTGGCACGCCTTACGCGCTATTCTCACCCAGAATATTCTTACACTCAGCAAATTGTTCATGGTGCGCACCACTAGAATGAAGTGTAACGATTCCCTCTGATAGCCCCACAATGTTGCGTCATAACTCAGGTTATCGAAACGACCTTGAAGATTCTGGTCCCTTTGCTAAACTGGCGGGCTAGGTTCCGGCACTCAGCCGGTTTGAGAAAGACTCCAAATAGTCCAGTAGCGGATCGCTTTTCAAAAATGGCTGGTCTGATCAGCGATTCACGGATGTTATGGAGGCTCTTTGGTGCGGGTTCTCCCTTGGATAAACTGAGTGGATCTAACTTCGTTAATTCTACGCCAGGCCTGGTGCCAATCATCAAATGGCTGTCCGCAATGGAACGAACACCTCCCTCGAACCGTCGACTTCTCACCATCGAGCGGTTGCAAGCCCTTGCCATGCTTGTTTACTACCCTCTCGAACACCTCTACTACTTTGGATCTCACGAAGTGTACAAGGTTCCGGTCAAGAAACTCTCGACACTCGCCGTTTGGTCATGCCGTGCTTGGGCGGTGTACGTCGTTCTCCATTTCCTTCACCTCCGCGAGGATTTCAAACTTCTCCAAGAGAAGGAAACCGAATTGGCCAGGAACGCCGTGGCCGAGAAGAAGGTCGAGGCAGGGGATCTAGTGCCCGCTGATCATGCAGCAACACGCGCGGAATATAAAACTCTTCAGAGGAAACGGAGAGCGTTGAAGCTTGATTTATTCGTTAACTTGGTCAATCTACCCCAATGCTTGCACTGGTACGACACTCACTCGACTTGCCTTTAAACGTGTGAATCACCTACTTAATGCTGTAACCTTGCTATTTCAGGTCGCTGGAGAAGGGCTATTTCCAAAACAAGGTGAGGCAGCCGGATCATACAGGTCGACCTAAAGATCTGACTGACACCATCTGATGATAGCACCTGGTGGACTTGTTTGGGTGGCTGGCCGGAATTGCTTCCTTTACGTCAGGCTGGGAGGCGACTTAAATTTGCTATGTGTTGTCGTAACAGGCCGCTGGATGAACAAAAGATTCTCGTTTTCGGCCTGTACGCGGTGGTCGAGTGGCCACAAGCTAGAATGAGTACACCGGGGCCGCTTAGCTCGAGCCCCAAACAAGCAAAGAAACACGCTATGTTCCTTTCAGGCAAATTTAAGCTGCAAGCTAATGAAAAAGAAAAATTAAGGTCTATCCCGGATTCGAACCGGGGTTGCCGGAAGATCTGAAGGCGTTGCCATATCAGAATCCGGAGTGATAACCGCTACACTAATAAACCGAGTTATTGACATGGAGTCGTTTAAATTATATGGCGTGTATGCTTTTGCAAAGAAACTATGTCAGTCACAGCATGTCGAGTTAGATACCAGAAAAAGCTAGCGGAGCGGCTACTGCTGCGGCTGCGGCTGCAACTCCTACAAGAGCTGCCTTAACCCCCAACCCCTCTCTTCCTTCTGCTGAGTTTGCATTGGTTGACCCTCTGGCGCGTTTCGATAAGCGGGAAGAAGGCAAAGACAAGATAAACTTGTGGCCCACCCTGTGGTTGCAGACCCTTTCAGTGCTGCATTGCCCACCGTCGTTGACGGGTTGAACGCTTTAGTGGTGTTCGAACCCAATGACCAGGTGATCCCAGCCATTATATGGGCCATGAAAGTCTCGTCCTATGTCACGTCGGGCGATGTCAGCATCGTTAAGTCTTGTGAAAGCACCCGGAAGAAACAACATACCGCCCAAGTCGATGAAAGGTGACCGAGCGAAGTATAAAACGACCGTCCTACGGTGGGCGCTCCCTCGGAGGCACCGGCTCCGCGTTCTTGGTACCACGCTGCAGGGGTTTTACATTCACCTCCATCTGACAAGTTGAAAGTAAGTCGACCTACCAATCGGATGGGGGTCTCCTTGAATAGCGGCGCTCGCATTGGCACCTTGACGAATATCCAGGACCACAACACGTCAAGACTAGTGACTGCGGGACCGCTGTATAGCTCACCAGCAGAGTTCGGGTCCACAGTTAGAACAACCTTGGCTCCAACTGAGCGAGGGTCTTGTTTGAAGTGGTACCTGTGCGATCAGGGTTGCTGAGCCTCCGAGACCAGAAGACGTTACACACTGCATGCTTACACTTCTTCTGTATACGTCCATCGCTCAGGAATCATGCTCACAGTGGGGTGGGTCGGGTCTACGTTGTTCAAAAACGTCTGTGGGTGTGCCACCTGATGTTAGTCTTGTCCGTTTGGCATATCAGAGACGGGGCAACTTGCTGCTTCGCCAAGGGTCGGATGGTCCCAGAAATACGCTCCGATCTCCCTCTGATAGAACACGGCATCGTGCAAACAATCTGATGCCGAATGTATGCCCACAAAGTTTCCTCCGCTGTTCAGGTAATTTTGGAAGGCTGTTTGCTGCTCCAGGTTTATGATGTCGTTGGGGGATACATCAGTGACCATTAAAAAGAGGATCGCATCGTAGGTGGTGAGATTTGCATCAGTGAACGCAGTTGAGTCTTCCGTTTGATCGAATTCTATATTATGAGAGGGGCCAGCAGTTGTGAGGGCGCTGATAGCATCGGGAATGGACTCTTGAGGCCCGAGTAGAGGGCCAGGGAGTGTAGTCGAACGGGGAAATCAGCTTTTGAAGGCGGGAGCATTTCTTTATCTTACCATGGCGATATCCGTTTGTGGCCGAGAAGATAAGGACTTTGGCGGGCTGTGCAGCAACCATAGATATCACGCTAAACACGAGTGCAGGACTTATGAGCTTCATCCTCAGCTGGGGGTCGCCGGACGGGTGAACGAAGACGAGAGACAAGCAAAACTCACTAGATGCGCAGAGATCCCCCTTGGCAACTGGTCTGGGTGATGTCATTCGGTGCTTGGAGCAAGGAGTTGCGAGACCCGGTAAGTCACCGAGGTCCGGCTTGATAAGCCGGCGGTCCCAAACTCTCCGTTTCTCACGGCTAATCCAAAAGTGCACTGTTATTGTGTAGAACCCCTTGACGGTAGAATCTTCAACCCCAGCATTTGCAACTCTGCTTGAATGCCTTCAGCATCCGAAGAAAAGTCTTCAGCATCCGTGCCAAAGCATCCACCAGGCCCCGTCCTTGGACCCGACGGCAAACCGTGTAAAATATGCAACGTCAGTTCGTTCAAGCTAGCGGCGCGATCTCAAACCAAGAAAGACCCGTCATCCTCTAAAGCAGGGTCTTCTGAACTGCCCGCACCTTCATCGGGATCGTCGTACTCCTCGACAGCTGCAGCATCAGGAGCCGCAGTAGCCGGCACAATTGCAGCAACCGCACCGGCAACACAACCAGCGGACTGTCCTCCAGACGTTGAAGACCTTGGCCGAGCGACTTGGACATTCTTGCATACAACGGCCGCGTATTACCCAGAGAAGCCAACACCTACTCAGCGTTCATCCATGTTAGGCCTCCTCAAGGCTTTGCCAAACCTGTACCCTTGCGGCTGGTGCGCATCGCACTTGAAGGAGAACATGGCCATTCACCCCCCAGACAAGGTGGTCGACGACCGTTTATCTCTCAGCAAATGGTTGTGCGAGAGGCACAACGACGTGAACGAGAGGCTAGGCAAGCCGATATTCGATTGCAGCAAGACAGACGAGCGGTGGAAGGATGGGCCAAAGGATGGAAGTTGTGATCAAGCGCGGTTGTAGAAGTTTGATAATGTGAAGGGAAGGGTGTGGTGTCGAGTCTGCGCGGACTGGTGAGCACCTTTTGAAGTAGAAGCACCCGAACCCAGTTTTCTCATGTCGTCGCAAGTAGGCCATAGTCAAATTTGCTGTAGCTGATGTAGCCTCACGGAACAGCGGAGATAGAATCAATAACAATTAACCCCCTCACTTCCTATCAGCCAGAGCCCTTCCCGATATGCCGATACTCAGAGAACCATATCGCTGAAGGTTCTGTCGAAGGCATTGGGATGGCCTTCCCGGGCTCGACGCGTGGCGCCAAAGCCACTTGCGCCCGACTTCGATGGATGCCTACACTTCTTTGGCATAATTGATCCACAACTGTTTGGACAGAAAGTAACGTCACGTCACGTCAAGTTTGCTGAGTGGCCAATAGTACTCTCACCCGTGTGATAGCCGTGTTCTTGAGTTGATTGGACTGCTGACGTCGATGGATCAAGGTGGGGGCATGCATTACGCCAAGGCCAGGTTGGGTTTGGCCCCACTCCCAACGTTTGGGGGTTTCTCCCCCACCAACGCTGGCCATCGCTCGCTAAGGTTCTCCAAGCGACCTTCGCCCATAGAAGTGATGGCAACATGTATTCTGACATCTGTTCGGGGTTGAACACGCTTCCCAAGCGTAGGCACGATGATGCTCCCATGGCCTTCGGTGAATGGTGTCCATGAACGGCGGCTCATTTTCAAAAGTAGCATCGCCCCCTTTGACGTTGTAGCTTTTTGGGCGCCTTCTCCGGACGGAAAGTTGGAGTTACAGAATCGAGGCGCGGGGGTCCCGGATTCCGATCTACATTCGGCTGACAATACTAATAGTGATACCGGTGGGTCAGCGATGGGTGAGTCCGACTCCTGACAGTAAAGTCCAAAACTAGGACCCGAAGTGTATTATCTACCAAGCGTCGGCGTTGCTTTCGTTGGCAAGAGGTAACGTACGGCGAGGATGGGTACGAAGCCCGAGGCCTTCCACTTGGTGGGGCTCGGGAAGATCGCCATGATTCGATGGGGACCAGGTTCCATCAGCATGCAGCTGAAGGGCTCGTGTCGATCCCCCAACAACTGGAGGAAACCGGGGGGTTTTGGGATTCAACAAGGAACCACGTGCATTGCGTCATACCTCGTTCAGGGTCCGATGAGCTCAGACTCACGGCACAACCCGATCCGTGCGCGGGCTTAACGCGAGTCTTCTGTCAGCCAGAGCTCACGTTTCACCTGCCGCACAAATGTAGTACGTATCGATTAAGCGGTCTGTGTCCTACGTCATCACTTCCAACCTGGGGGGCCCGACTTCGTCGCAGCAGTGGCTCAAAGGAATTGTATGCTGGAGCATGCAGTCCAAGGAACTCTGAGATCCAACGGCATATCTCGAACTTCATTGGATCCACCGACGACTGAAGTGGATCAAATATGTAATAATTGGATTTTGATAGCGATCGAAGCCCAACCTCGGCGGCGCGGTGGATTTAACGGACTTTGGAATGGTGGCGTGCCTTACATGACATCACTCCTCGGAGTCTCCACAGCCCAGTCGACTGGGACTAGCAGCCTCCGATCTATAAAGAGCTCCCCCTCGGATGACTTCGGATTACAACCCACAGCACACCTCCTCATCGACCTTTAAAGTCTTCTCTTAAAGTCTCTATCTCGTATCCCCACCCTCGTCAAGTTATAATCACTAGCTCTTTTTAACCTCCTTGCAATGGCATCTCCAGCAACCACCACCCGCTCCCGCTACCCCAAGATGACCGTTCCACAGGATCTCAGGTCATATACCAAGTCCCTCCACGAATACACCACAAACGTGAGTTTGAATGTCCGTCTCTTTAGGGGGAGGACCGCATGCTGACTGTTCATCACATTGATCTCCCTTATAGTTATGGCTGCAGGCAAGAGAGAATGCAGAGCGTCAGGCCAAGTTACGGGCTGAGAAGTCGAGCAGGGAGAGCTCTAAGCACAAGAGAAACTCGAGCACTCACCGATAGACGCGTACTGTCTCCAAGATTCGTGGCGCAGCAACCCCCTCGTTGCTTCCTCCCCTCTTCTCGCCCAACCGCTATACACCATCCCGCTATTTCACACCACCGCCCCGCCGATTTGCCCAGTACATCCGTCTGTCTCTCACGGACATCTCGCGTCTGCACATATATCGATTCCCTGTTGTCATCATCATGTATCCATAAAAAATTATTGTTACCGAAAATCTCCGGAAATTCTCATGGGCGCGCTCCACTATGGACATCACTATGATAGCACTTGAACGCATATGGAGTGAAATCAATGACCGTACTCGCTGGAATTTGCTGAGGATCGATCATGTCTTCATCAATCCTATAATCGACAATGACGCACAGCGACAGTACCACACAATGATGAGTTTGCCGTCACATTAGATGCAAAGCAGTAAGAAGAGAAAGCTGCGAGACTGAGATTCTCCAAGGACCCCAGTCTCCCTAGACGTCATGCGTCACTGGACATCATCACCGTCCGAAACATAGTACACCAGGTAAAAGAATAAAACTTGACTCGAGGTCCCGAAGCAAGCTATCAGACCGATTGTCTGAGATATTGGAAGAGGTA